GAGAGAAATACAGTAGGTACGGAGGAAGAGAGAGTAGATAAGTAGGTAGATGTTGCCAGGTGTATTTATCCATGTGCTGCCAATCTGCAGCACCTAACATTTTGTTTCTGCTGGCACAGCACTTGATCAATCTAATTCTCATCAATCAGTTAAAGAGCTTTCCGAAAGGGGAAAAAAAGTTTTTCCACTCTGCAAACCTCCCAAAAACGGCCTGTATTTCTTTTAAAAAAGAGCATGAATAGCCTTGGGGGAGGGGCTTGCAGAGTGCTCCTAGGGGGTGGGGCATGGGCAAAAATTCAAATGGCTATCCCCCCAGTCATGTGATCGCATTTTGGCTCTCAAGAGTTTACAGCCATTTGCAGAATCCCATGGTCATATGACCATGTTTTATGGCAAAATCAGACCATTGCAAATCACTAATGACCATACTGTTCGCTTAATGATTGCCACAAAACACCTCGTGGTAAAATTAGGTCAATCATGTGAGTAATCCAATTTATGAATGTTACAATTTACAGCCATGATGGGCTGGTTCCATTATGATTGTAAAATGAAGAGTATCTGTATATCCTTTTGCAAAAATGCTTGAATAAAATAAATTATTTACATATAATTTTACCATTACATATTGAGTTTGAGTTTATTATATTTCTATGCCGCCCTATTCCCCGGAGGGGACCCAGGGCGGCTCACAACCATATTCTATCAAGTGTATAAATATGAATAATTTGTCTGATATTATATATCATATTATATATATATGGATTATTCAGGAGTAAAGTAAATTTAATCATCTTCCAAACAAATATTTAAGTATTTCTTACAAACAATTTATGCTAAGCATATAAACCAGGTTGGTGTAGTGTTTAACTTGTTGGTCTAGAAACCAGGAAACTGAGTTCTAGTCCCACTTTAGGCATGAAAGCCAGATGGGTGATTTTTGACCAGGCATTTCCGCCCAGCCCAACCCATCACACAATGTTATTGTTGTGGGCAATAATAGGAGGAGGTAAGAGTATTAAGTATGTTCACCGCCTTTAAATAAAGGCCAGATATACTGTAAATAGATAAGTAAATAAAACATGCAAATATAAATAGTGTATAGAAATTTCAAGAAAGTGGTTCAGAGTGTATCAATTTTAATGTAAGAAAAAATAATGCAAATAACATGACAATTATTGATTTTTATCACTGCAACAGGATAGAAAACTAATAAATCAATAAAGCAGGGTGTGTATGGGGAGGGGGGGAACAAGTGTTTTAAACTGTGAGTCTGTGTTAATGCTATTTCTTTCAACCACAGTTCTCCAAGGTCTCAGGCAGAGATACTGTATATCTCAACACCCATAAATTACTTTTAACTGTAGATGCTCACAATTCCGCATGCATCTGCTGCTACGGTACCTTATCTCACACCATTTCTTATTATTAGAAAGGTCAGTAGCGGCTAGCATATGCGTCCTTGCTATTTCACCTGGTGCAAAGGTTGCAGAGAATTCTGGATTAAAGCCATTATTATAAACTTGAAAAAAAGGATAGATTATAGCTATAATTGAAACTGATCTACAAAATGGGCACTGATATAAATCATAAAGGGGGGAGGGGGAGACACAAAGGCATAACAGATGGCCCTCTTCTCCTCCATCCATAGCTACTGGAGATGACAAGCTGGTAATTTTTACTGGGTGGTTTAGCTCATTAAAAATGACAAAGGGGATTTGTGACATTTGCAACATACAGAAAAATGCAGTGTTTGTTCTTTGTGATACAATATTTTTTAAAAACAAGTTGTAAGTGTGGGATGGCACCTATATTGATGAAGTTCTTATCTTGCCTTATAGGCAACTCATCCGTTGTTGACTATTTTCCTTATGAACTAGCAGCACACTGTCGTGATGTTATTCTCCTTTTATTAAATTCTATAATTTGTAAGGGAATCTAATTCTAATTCATTATTATCATACTGTGTTCAAAACAGAAGCTGCAAATTTGATGGCATGTGCTTGAAAGGGTTTTAATATTCTGTACTTTCAAGAGACACCGATGTAGGATCATAACACCAGTTCTTTTCTGTATCAATTTATGATGATTTACTAGCCCTTTTCTTTTCTTAGCCCAATAAACAGAATCCCTATAGCTTAATCCAGGTGAGCTAAATATTGTATTTCGATAATCCTCCACCTTCTCTGTAAAGTTGTTGTGGCCCGCCAGCGCCCAACAGAACTGGCAGCAGATTCGGACAGTGATGAGGTTGGGGAGGAACATGGGGCAGTCCTGGAGCCTGGGGAAGGCTCGGATGAGGGCTCTATGCCAGAGGCAGAGATGGGGCCATGGCCATCTGACAGTTATTAGCTGCCTTCGGAATCAGACATCAATGAGGCACACAACAGCTGGAGTTTGTTCCCAGTGTGCTCATGCACAATGTTGCCAGATGAAGGGAACAGCTAAAGAACAGGTGTTGATTTGGGAGTAAGGCCACAGGNGTACCCTAAATTGCATTATTGCAACTTAATAATAGCAAATATTGTTTTTCTTTAATATACTTCATAATGGATTACTGGGTCCCACTGTAAGATATAGGAAGGCAATTTTTTACCACAAACTACAAATGGCAGGCAAGATGTCTCAGTCTAGAAAATGAGAGAAAGCTAATTATAATGGCAACCCTTTTGTTTAGGATTGTGGCAAACAAACTGAATATCTGTGGGATTGCCTCAACAGTTGCTCTCTACTAAAGAAATAATTTACTGTTGGTTAGTGGTGGTATTCCAAATCTTTTCCTACTGGTTCTATGAGAGCGTGCTTTGCACACGGGCACAGCACTCAAAGACTGCCCTCGGTGTCAGCGCTGGTGAGCTGAGCTGTTTTTTAGCCCAGCTGAGGCGCAGCAATCCGTTCTGCTGCGCGAATCAGCTGAGCTAAAAAAATAGGGGAATATTGGAGAGGGAATGACAGAGACGGGATAGTGGGGCCAACCAGAGGTGGTATTCGCCAGTTCTCCGAACTACTTAAAATTTCCGCTACCGGTTCGCTTGAACCAGTCTGAACCGACTGAATACCAACCTCTGGCTACTATAAAACAAATTTGCTTTGTGAGTGGTGAACCTTAGGTTAAGACTTGCTGCCAATTTAACAACTGTCCCTCATAGGGCTGTTTGCAGAATCAGAACCACAGAAAACATGTCTAGCCTTTCTGTATATCAAGGCTGCACCATCCAATATGTGGGTATGAAATGTTTATTTTTCTTTAGGAAAAGAGCTGCTGCAAACAATTGCCCTTGGTATTTGAGAACAAGGATCACTGAAGACTTGTCCAGGTGGAGCATCTCTGTATAAAGATTGAATGGCCAGTTCCCTGACTTTCAAAGGATTATTGCCCATTTCAGGCTTCTTGACAAGAGCTTGGTGGGTGGGTAATTCTCAGATGCTACTCTTGACCCAGCTTTACTAAGTCTCTAGATTCAAATTCACTGAAGCTCCTCAAGACACATAGTATAGTAGATAAGAATCTTTCTTGCATAGTAGATGTAAACGGTACCATGATTCTTTATTTTACCATTGTGTATAATTTGACAATCCTTCAAGGTGGATCAGACCAGGAAACTGACTCAAAAAGTTTTATTTGAACTCTAGTTTATTAGTAACAGAATCTTGAAAGCCTGGTTGCATTTTCTCTCCCCTCCCTCTTATATTCCAGGAAGTTAGAGCGGAGCCAATTTGAGTTTCCGCCTCATGTTTTGCTTCCCAATGTTAAGCATGTTTTTGTAACCCTTTTTGCATACTTTTTCCCAGGTCATCTTCGTATTTCTCTACAGGAAACTTCTTTTTCCTGCTTTTCCCAGTTGCTCTGGCCTGTGGCTCAGTTTTAAACTGAGTGAATTGTTGATATAACTGACAAGTCTGCTCTGAGAAATTCTAGCTCTCAACCTAAATTTTGCCCCCTGAGGTGGTGACTTTGCCATTCGTAGACTTGCTGATAAGGGAGTGACCCTTAAAGTGGTTTTTTTGATACCCCTTAAGGCAGAGAACTCTATTTTCATTGCAAATATTGGAGAAGAGCTGGGATTACAATTGGGACAAGTTACTAAATGTTGCTGCCTAACTAAATTATGGTTTTCTGGAATGAGATGATCAGGGATATTGAAAAGAGTGAGGACTGAAGAAAACCAAATTTTATATAGTAACTGGTAAGGAATTGCAATTTGGTTTTTACAATTATTGGAAAGTTTATGGGTTTAGAGATCTCAGTTATGATCTATTTTCTGATGAGCTGAATTTGTTTTCTGGATTCAGTTTTGGCATCTCCTTTTGAGACAATACCTTATGTATCTTATTATTATGTACAATCTTATGTATCTAATCTGGAGTAAAAGTATTCCTGCACCGAACAGGGAATTGGATATTATGATCCAACTCTGGATTTTAAATTGTGCTTGACTCCTTAACTGAAATACTTTAGCTTGTCTCTTTTGTTCAATGTTCTTTATATTTTACCCTTATAGCAAATTATAATGTCTGCTCTTGCAGTTTTGTTTATGGGTGCTTTCCTGGCTGATTTTGGACTATTCTGATTTAGGTTTGGAAATTTGTGGAAGACTTATTTTCTTTTATCCCTTGTGGTTGGCAGCCCTCAGGCATAAAGGTTAAAGGACAAGAAGGATGTAATCAGGACTGACATGTTCTTGTGGTGAAAGCTCATGTCCTGAATGTATCCTGGTTATTCTTGAGAGATACATTATTCTTTGCAGCCTTTTTCAGTCTACGCTTGTAGCTTGAAACTGTAGCTCCATCTGGATTCTATCAAACATGCATTTAATGCTATGTTCTATTCAGTGAAAGGCAGATGTTTATATTTTATTTCTTATCTATTTCAATCCTTTAGTAATCTTTTCTATAACTTGCATCTCTCTCTCTCTCTCTNAGAAGACAGATGCAAGTCTGTAAACACAGCAACATAAAAGTGTTGAAAGTGGTTTCTGAATGGTTTAAAGACACCATACCTAAAGGGATGGGATCCGGGTTCACTGGACTCTGCTGCCTAGAATGATTGCTACCGTTGCCTTTTTTCAAATCCTCTGCATCGCTGTACCGCCGTATCCAGTAATTAAGTTCTTCCCGGTCAGCTTCTTGACATCGCCGTAGCACAGTGAGAGATCGCCTTGTTTTTTCTACCATGTCCATGATGCAATTTAAGAGCTAGATGTCACAAAGGGAAAGAGAATTATGAAACGTTAATGTTTATTTGATGTATATCAATCAGAACAGAAGTGGAAGGGATCTTCGAGGTCTTCTAGTCCAACCCCCTGCTGGTGATCACTCAAGCCAGTGATCACTCAAGCCAGTGATGTCTAAGCTTTTTGTTAAGGCGTGCCAAAAGCATGGGGGAGCGTGGGGTGTGTGTGTCACGTGGACCTTCCCCCACGCATGTGCGCACCCCCCCACGCGGATGCGCACAGGGTTCTCTGGACTTCCGGGAGGCGTATTGGGCTCTTTTTTGTCCTCTGCAGACTTTAGGGGGCTTTCCTGAAGCCTCCAGAGGGAGAAAAACGTCCCAACGGGCACCCCAGAAGTTTGTTCCTTAACTTCTGTTGGGACGTTTTTCGGCCTACCCAGGCTTCAGGGAAGCCTCCTGAAGCCTGGGGAGGGCAAAAAATGGCCCACCATGCAAACCAGAAGTTTGGGAATGGACTTCTGGGTTGCCCATTGGGCAGTTTTTCTCCCTCTGGAGGCTTCAGGAGGATTTCCTGAAGCCTGGGGAGGGTGATAAACAGCCCAATGTGCAAAACGGAAGTCTGTTCCTGAACTTCCGGTTTGCGTGTTGGGCCATTTTTTGCCCTCCCCAGGTTTCAGGAAGCTACACTGAAGCCTGGGTAGGCCTAAAAATGCCCAATGGGACCGACTAGAAGTTCGGGGACGAACCAGAAGTCTATTTCTGAATACTGCCCATAATAGCAATAGCAGTTAGACTTATATACCGCTTCATAGGGCTTTCAGCCCTCTCTAAGCGGTTTACAGAGTCAGTATATTGCCCCAACAATCTGGGTCCTCATTTTACCCACCTCGGAAGGATGGAAGGCTGAGTAAATCCTGAGCCGGTGAGATTTGAACAGCCGAACTGCAGTCAGTTGAAGTAGCCTGCAGTTCTGCATTTAACCACTGCGCCACCTCAGCATAAGACCCAGATTCTATAGAGCAGGGTCACACTTCAGTGGTTCTCTTCAAACAAGTGTCAAATGGACTCCCACCATCCACTGCTGTCATGTTTTCCCAGTAGGACATGCTACTTAGGTTTCACCACCGATGGCCACACAAACAGACTGTATTTTCTAGGTGAACTGTGGTGCCATAGAATGAGAACCACACTGGCTCACAGTTCCATTCTGTGGTTGATTATGTTTGAGTATCCAGAACACAGTTCCCAACCTGACATTAACAAAGCAGCACAGTGGATTTTAGCCAATTTAATCTGGTGGTCAGCCAGCACAAAGCACGTTCAAGTGTTAGTCCAAGTCATTTCCCATTCAGAAGGGCCATTAGCAATATTTACTGGGGGTGGGATGAGGACAGGTGAGAGAAGCGGCTGCTACTGCTGTTCCAGAAGCACTGCATCTGTTATAGCATCTACTATTTTACATAGCTTTATAGCCCTCTCTAAGCGTTTTACAGAGTCAGCATATTGCCCCCCCCCCCCGATAATCTGGGTCCTCATTTTACTCATCTACTATACAGGGCTCAATGGTGAAATTAGCTTGGAGTTCCAACTTTTTCTGCAGTGGGAACAATGTCTGAAATGTTGAGAAGGTGTAGGATAGACACACAAGGCAGAGATGAAAGTGCCACACAGCTATTGCCATGTGCTCAGAATCTCCTTCCTACCAATGCTGTCCTAAAAGTTCTATTTCCAATTTCTATTTTTCTAATCCAATGTGCAAAGGAAATAAAGCACTC